GGAACTGGCCTTTGGAGATGGGCTCAGCCTCAGGAGCAAGGCTTTTCCCTGTCAGGCCCTGGGTTAGGCTGGAGCTGTTCAGACTGCAGCCTTGAGGTGGCCCCTCCCCCGCCCAGGGACTGAGTTGTGGTTTTGGAGCCTAGATTCTGTGACAGCAGGTGCCTCCCCACCGTCACCCCTGACCCTTGGTATTTTGGGGCTCTCTCTTTCTGGGCGGCGCGGGGGCACTCAGAAGGTGCCGCAGCCTCATGCTCCTTCAAGGGCAGCCAGGACAGAAGGCCTGCCAGGTGCCGGATCCCAGCTCTACTCTGGCTCTTCTTCCCCTAACTGGGGGCAGATAAAAGTTGGAAGGCATGGTGGCTTCTCAGTTGCACGATGGAAAGAAGGGGGATTTCTTGTAGGCCAGGAGGGGAGGGGAGGTGTCCAGACTAGCCTTGGGAAGGGTTGTATGAGCTACGGATTTTACTGGGCAAAGTAGGAAGAGATGGGTGAGAACCTCATCTCCGGGGTTCTGCAGGTCTGAGTCCCTGGCCAGCTAATCCACTTTCTGAAACCTCACCCCAAACCCTCTTCTGAGAGAGAAAATAACTCAAGGGCTGGCGGCCTCAGACTCTGGCCCTGTCCCACTCGGACTTTGGAGCTTGGTATTTGGAGGCAACTCTCCAAGACCCTCTGCTGATTGGTCATTACTCCAGGAGTTATTGTCTTCTAAACAGAGGTCACCCGGAGAGGGAGAGGGACATCCAATCAGTCAGGAGAGACCCTGCAGCAGACTGGGCCCCTGCTCCTCTCCCCTGCGTTTCCCTCCCTCCCCCAGCACCCCATCCCCCGCCCCACGCAGCCCGAGATTCCCAGCCTGTCTCCTTCTGCCCTTTCCACGGCCCACCTTGGTTTCCACACTCCATGGGGCTGAGGCTGGCCAGGCCACGACCATGCCCCTGGAGGAGCAGGTCTCTGATCCACATCAGCTCTTTTGGCCACTGCGGAGCCAGCCTGTCCCTGGCTCCGGACTTTGCTGCAGCACTGCCATCCCCTTTCCCGCGCTCAGGGGGCTTCTGTGGTCGCCAAGTTGACTTTGCAGGTCCTTGTCGCCTGCCCTGTTTTTTTCTTCCCCTCGCTCGCGGGATGGTGGTGGAGTGGGCAGCGACCCCAAGCTTGGGACCGGGGAAATGTCCAGTTAAGTTTTTCTTCTCCCAACACAGTGGCCTTTTTTTTTCTTTCTTTTTTACAAATCCAGGTCTAGGTGGGCCTCAAAGGAGGCAGTGAGATCTCCTGCCAGGTGCACCTTTGCTCCTTTCACTCCCCCCTTCTCCTCCCCCAACAAGTCAGAGGTGGGGGAGGTGGGATAGGGGGATTGGGATCCAAATGCTTCATTAGCAACTTCCATCATACACCCCCCTAGCTTTGGAATCTTTATCATATTTCGGAGAAGATTCTGGAAAGCGTGTGAAACTTTATGGCAGCCTCACTTTGTGGCAGCCACAAAGCTGGGCAGTGACGCCGGGAAGAGCCTAGGACCCAGAACGCTTTGCCCCAGGCTCTCAGGTGTCAGCTGCAGAGGGCCTGGTGGGTTTGCGCTGTGTGTCTGGACGCAGGCTGCTTGGCAGTCCCAAGACTGAGATAACAGAGAGTTTTCGTTTGCTTTTCCATGGATTTTTCGGAGGAGGGAAGCAGGGGGATCTCACCCTTGTCTGGAAGGGTGGCGGCTGGTGGTTGATCAGGGAGGTTTAGCGTGCTGCTTGTCCCCTGGTATTGGGTACTGAGTTGGAGTGGGGTCGGGGGTGCCTGAGCCGGCGCTGTGGCTCTGCCGAAGGGAACCACAGAAGAAAAAACATTTTGGGAAGGGAAGGTTTGCCCTAATCTTCACCTTTATTAATTTTTGCCTTTATTAGTTCACACTAGTATTGTCCTATTTTTTCAATTTGTAAAATTGTCCTCCCCCTCGCACAAAATGCCCAAGTTTCCTTCCCCTAAATCCTGACTCCCCCACCCCCATTTCCCAAACCCTTAAGGTATCCGTCCATGACTCCCAAGCTTTTTTGTCCCCAGATGTCTGAAAGGTCCCTAGCCTGCGGCCACACCCCAGATGAAATGGGCACTCTTGGGGCTGCATGATCACCATCCACCTCTAGCCTCCCAGCTCTGGTCAGGGATGGCCAGTCTGCTGGCCAGAAAGTCAGAAGAAGAAAAAAAAAGAAGGCCAGAAAGAAAACGAACTGGGATCTAATTGCCTTCTCAACATTCCAAATTGGCTGTGTTACCCAGAATCAAGAAGCCCCCGTTCCTTCTCCTACCGCATTTGGGGGTGCGTGTTCTCTGAAATTGTCTGCAAGTTCGTTTTCTTGCTCGCCAGGCCTCCTTTTTGCGCCCACCCCACTGTACCCCACTGCCTTGTGTAGTCAGAAGGGACCACACAGGGGTGAGGAGGCAAGGAAGCAGAGGAGTCCGCTGTGGCCCGTCTCTGGAACACTCCACCGACAGCTCAGCTCCAGGCCCGCAGCCCCAGCAGCCCTGCCTCTCTCCCAGGCCCGAGGCTGGCTGGGTGCCCTCGCCGCTCTCTTTATTCCTAGAGGCAGAGCTGTGGCAGTCCAAAAGGCGATCAAGGTTCTCCTCTGGATTTCGCGAGGATCTTTGCTAGCCGGCGGTAGTAACAGCTTGGGAGGGCTGAAGGGTCTGAAGTACATCCTGGAATTTTCTTTTGGGGTGAGAAGGGACACCCCCTCCCCAGTCTTGCTTCCCTTAAGCCTGCGGAGGCCCCCAAGGCCGGGAGTCCCTGGCTTCCCTGGCCCACGGGTGATGTGGAGTCTGACCCTGCAGGTCTCTAACGAGGGCCTAAGGTCTCAGGGCGGACTCCCTGCAGCCACATTCCCAGGCAGACCCGGTGCGGCCGGACTTGAGCCCCAGCGCTGGGTCTGGTTTAGGTACTTGCCTGTCTTGAGGAACACAGAAAAATGGCTCCCACCCTCCCTTGCTCACCTCTCCCTCCCCTTTCCCCAGCCGCCCAGTGTGCGGCTCCTCTAGGCAGGTGTGGGGTCTCCTTAGGACCCCACAGTCCCAGGTTCCGCCTGTGGCTCCTGTTGCTGGAATCTGGGGAGGCCACAGGTCCCCCCCCCACTCCTAATCAGGCAGGGGCCCAGGAAACCACTGGTCCAGACCACCTGGCCTGACTTAGCGGGCCTGGAGGAAGTGGCCAGGGACCACCCCACCCTCTTTCTCACCCCAAAGCCAAACCTGCGGGTGGGGAGCGTTGCGGGGACACAGCCACCCTCTCCTGGAGTGGAAACAATAGCTGGAAATCATCTCTCACCTTTGCTTCCCCCAGTCCCATCGCCTCTCCTGGTGCATCCAGATGGGAGCAGGCAAAAGCTTGGAAGCAGGAAGCCGCAGGGTCACGGCTGGCTCTGCCTACACCAAGTTGAGAGAACCAGTTTTCAAGCTGCCTTTGTAGAAAAGAGGCAGCCTTCTGTTTTCTCCCCTAAGCCCCGTGTCAGCAGTTACGCAGGGTTGCAAACACTCCTGCTTTGGGAAAAGTCCCGGTGCTTTTTGTCTTTTCCCTCCCTTGGGAATGGCTCTTCCCCACCCCCACCCCAAATCTGCAGACACCTACATTCCTGGCTCCTGTCTTCCTCCTACAGGCCTCCTGCGCAGGCTTCCTGCCCCGCTCAAACACGCCCTGCGAAAACTCCAATTTTCTTTCCCCACTTACGTCAAGCACAGAGAAACAAGCGGGTTTGATCTGAATAATAATAATAATAACAACCACCGCCACCTTCCGTCAGTGCATTTAAGATGAAGCGGTTCTGCTCCTCTTCTTAGAAGTACAAATGTCCTTATCACTCTCAGCCGCCTCTGCCTGTCCTGAGGTGAGAATCTTCACAGAAACTTCTCCAAAAGTTCTTCCAGCCCCTCCATTGCCAGCCACGGCTGGAGCTCCAGCTAAGCACCGGGTCCTCCTTCTGTCACCCTCTGCTCCACAACCCTTCCCCCCTGCAAGATGTTCTGCCTTTTAAAAATCAACACTCACCGCTTGTTGTCTGTTCTCAAAAAGGGGTGGGGGGAGGGAGTGTTTAAAAAAAAAAAAGTCTGGCCTTCCTCCTCCCTCAGAGATTTGGGAGGGAATATTAGGAGGACAGAAGCAGCAGAGAGACTGGGAGACTCAGAAAGAGGGAGCTAGAGCGAGAGGGCGGGAGCCCCAGCCACCAGTCCCGGAGGAGTGAAACTACTGAAAAAAAGTCCTGGTGTTCCAACTGCGAATGAGCGCGCAGGGGCACCCAGCACCCCCACCCCCGGCAGGCCAGGCCTCCGCTGGGCCTCCCCAGGCTACTTCTCAAATTAGCATAATGGTTTCCTAGCGGTGGTGGTCGTGTGGGGGGGGGGTGCTGTGAACTCCGCTGGCTCTCCGTGCCTTCCGGGCTCTCTTCCTCCCCCAGCGCAATGTGAAAACATACCTGTTCTTTTCTAGATCTATAAAATAATCTGTAAAATCCCTCTACCTTCTTTCCTTCTCACCCCCCCTTTTTTGTGGTGGGGGGCATTTGCCCCCCCTCCGCCATCACCACCCTCACCTTCTCTCCTTATCAGGCATCTGAGCTAAAGGGGGAGAGGTGGGGGTGTGTGTGAGCTTGTGTGTGAGGGAGCGAGCGTGTGTGTCTGTGTGGTTTTTTTTCCCTGTGCAAAAGCAGAGGCCATTGTTACGGAGAGTAGGGCGTACCAGTCTTATAGGGCAACCACCCCGTGCCGGCTTGGCCGCGCCGGAGCCCGCAGCCCGGAGCCGGCCGCCCGGCGAGCCCGGCCGCCCCAGCACCTTTCGCTCGCCGGCTTTCCTGCCGCTCCCCCAGCCCCTCCCTCCTGCGCACCCCCGCTCCCCAGCCGCGTGAATTGAAGCGGACGCCGCGCGGCTCCTCTGGCCGGTCTGCCCCTCGGGCTCCCCAGCCGGGGTGGCTTGGGGGGGGGGGGCGACGCAGCTTTAAACAGTGGTCTTTTTTTCCTTTGCCTTCAAGGAGGGGAGATTTCTCGCCTGCCGCTCGCGCTGGGGCTCGATGTGAATATATATTATGTCTGCCTGTTCTCCCCTCGTCGGTGGCTAAGGTAAGCTGGACTGAAATAGGCTATCAGTTTGTGAATGGCGGAGAGTATGTCTCAATGATTTATGGCCCATATGACTCCAATCTCGGTTCAAGAAGAGTTCACAAGCTTTAAGCTTCCTTCCACGCAGCGACTCTCTCTCTCTCTCTCCCTCCCTCCCTCCCTCCCTCTCTCTCTCTCTCTCTCTCTCTCTCTCTCCCTCTCCCTCTCTTCCTGCTTCTCTCCCTTTCTCCTCTCTTTTCTTTCAGCAGCCAGATCCAGGGCTCAATTTCCCTCCGGCTGCTAAGAACAGAGCCTAACCTCTCCCCTCTCTCTCTCTCCCCCTTTCTTGTTCTTTTATTTTTCTTCCTTTCATTAATTTTTTAAGTCCTGGAAGGTGGCCTGTCCCCCCTCCCGGGGCTTCCCCAGCTATTGTTACCCTCCTTGGCGCTGGGGGTGTGTGTGTGCCTGGCAAGGTGGGGTTCTGGGGGGCTCACCTCCCTTCTCCAGCCAGACCCTGGGGGGAAGCCGGGAGCCACGGCTCCCTCCCTCCTCCCGAGGAGCCATATGGAGCCTGGATTTTTCCAACATGGAGGCAAGGGAAATAGACATGTTTGGCTTGGTGGAACTGCTCCCCACCCCCTCTCCTGCTGGATCCCAGACCTTCGCAGCCCCTCGGCGCCTTCCCTCTCCGCACTGTCCCGTCAGCGGGCCTCGGCGCCCCGCGGCCCCAAGCCCGGCTGGGCAAAGTCCCGGAGCGGAGTTGCGAAGGCGCCTTTTAATTCGGTTACCTCCAGCGCCCAAACTTGCGGCTGCCCGCGGGCTGCGGCTCTTGGCCGGGCCAGTGTGCTCAGAACCTGCCGCCGATAACGTTTCGATGCCCGATCGCTTTCTCTTCGCTTCCTTGAGCGCGGGCGGCTCTGGTCGTCGGCCACGGCGGCGGCCTCGCGGCGGCGGCCCCGGGCTATCCCGGTGCACAAACCTTCCCGGCCCTGCTTCCCCGCCGGCCGTGTCTCCATGCTTTGCCTCTCGCGTCTCTGGCTTCCTTCGCTTTCCACACTCGCCTGGCCTCCGTCCTGCGATGGTTTGGGGTTTATTACAGGGGAGCAACAGGAATTTCGGCCCCAGGCGCCTAGTCAAATTATTTTTATTATCATCATCTTCATCATCATCATCGTTATTGCTGTAACAATCATTCAGACTAAATAAAGCCAGGGCCCAGCCAGCCAACCCCCTCTAACGTTTTTATTTCATTCTCTTCTCTATTAATAACAAACTCAACTGATGCCTGTTAATTAATTCCCCTTTCAGCCAGGGCTGCTCAGAAGCTAATTTCGGTTAAATCATCAGAGGCTAATGGTAATAATAATAAAGAGACTGGGTCAGCCTGGTCAGCTGAACTCCAGCTCTCGCTGAAGAACCTGCTGCTTTGTAGACCCTTGTGTATTTCCAGAAACAAATTCTTCCCAGAGACCAATGGGAGCTCGGCTCCACCGGCTCCTTTTTGAGTATAAATCGGTGTCATTAAGAAGGGGATTTATGTGTAGGAGGGACTTCCTTCACCTGCACCTCTCCTTTCCTAATTTCAGTTTCCTTTGGTCGACCAGCTGGCCCGAATGAGATTTACGTTGTCCAAACACACACATCAGAGGCAGGGCCAGCCTGGAGGGTTTTTATGAAAAGTGGCGATGAGGAGTTGGGAAGGGGGTGGCAGAGAGGGGAAGATGCAGTCAGAAGTTTCAAAACAAATGCACAAAATCCAACGACAGCTTGAATCTTTATTTCTCTGCCATACTTTAAAAACAGCCTATATTAAAATAGTGATTGTATTCTTTTGGGGGGGCCTCAGAGAGCCTCAGTAAACAGGGATACTCTCTTTTTCCAACTCAGAAAATAATATTGTTCAAATTGCTTTGTCGTCCCCCCCCCAGGAATAATTCCCCCCCTTTTTTTAAATAAAGAAAGCTTGGTAGAGAAGTTTAGTACTTATGCAATGTATTATTTTTCTTCTTCTTTTGGAGAAATAAAAGAAAACAGATTGTCAAGAAAAGGGTGGGAAAAAATGAAGTCTGAGGGGGAAAGAGGGGCGGGGTGGCAGGGGAGAGGCCCCAGGCAAATGGTCACAGCACCAACTGGCCCGGCCCAGGGAACCGAAACAAGCCTGCTCCATTTGGGGCTCCGCGGTGGCCTCTGGCTGGGGGATCCCAGGCTGGGCCAAGCAGACACAGGGACCGGACGTGGTGGGACCCGCAGCTGAGCCCACAGAAGGCCGAGGCTGGGTTGCACTGGCTCTGGAGGTCAGAAACCTTTAAGAAGTTTCTAGGTCAGGTGGTGGTCTTCATGGGGGGGCGGGCAGAGAGAGAGGGGATCTCACAGGAGGAGGTTTCCTGCTGCACTTGTTTCTTCTCTCTGTGTCTGCTCCTCCAGGGGAGAGAGACCTGGACAGATATGGAAGGAGGCAAAGGCAGGAGGCAGCCAGGTCTCTGCTCATAGAAGGGTGTCCAGGACGTTTATTCTGGGGTCTCCCAGGATCCCCTCAATTGAGCCACCCTGTCCCAGAGGTCGGCGGAGGCGAGGAGGGTCCCGCTGGTGCCCAGGCAGGAGAGAAGCAGTGACCCCCAGGGTGTAGAATTGCACCCCTGGGCGTTCTTCCTTAAAGCAAAGTCGGAGAAATCCACTTCAGTTTAGGGATGCGGCCTCAGCATCTGCTTTGGACTTGTTGGGTAGGGGAGAAGAAAAAACCCCTATTGATGTCAGCTCCCTTTTCAGTGCCTAAGATGGATTCGAGCCCCAGTCCTCTTCCCGCCTTGTGTCTCTTCTCTCGCCCCGCAGGTCAGCCGGTCGGAACAGACCCGGGAGGAGGGGGGCAGAAAGGGGAAGGGGGGGGGGGGTCCGGCGCGTCACGTGACCCCCCAGGGGTGCCAATGTCCGGTCGTGAGGGTATCAGGCCCCTGCAAGTTGCCACCCACTGCCCGGGCCTCGCCCAGCGATGCAGAAAGCTACCTACTACGACAACGCGGCGGCTGCGCTCTTCGGAGGCTACTCCTCGTACTCTGGCAGCAATGGCTTCGGCTACGACGGGCCCCCCCAGCCCCCCTTCCAGGCCGCCACGCACCTGGAGGGCGACTACCAGCGCTCAGCGTGCTCGCTGCAGTCCCTGGGTAACGGCGCCCCGCATGCCAAGGGCAAGGAACTCAACGGCAGCTGCATGAGGCCCGGCCTGGCCCCGGAGCCCCTGCCGGCGCCGCCGGGCTCGCCCCCGCCCAGCGCCGCACCTACCAGTACCACAAGCAACAGCAGCAATGGGGGCGGACCCGGCAAAAGCGGGCCCCCCAAGTGCGGCCCTGGCTCCAACTCCACCCTCACCAAACAGATATTCCCCTGGATGAAAGAGTCGAGGCAAACGTCCAAGCTGAAAAGCAGCTCCCCCGGCACAGGTACCAGCTCTCTGCCTTCCTCCTCGGCAGCTTTTGTGTGGGTCAGGAATGCCGCTGTTATTCTAGCACCCGGCCCCGAGGCGCCCACCGGGCGGCCCCGCGTTTGCGGTATTCCCCACCCCCCGCGCCACCCGCTGACCCCTGACCTCGCCGGCGCCCTCTCCCTCCAGCCACCCTGCACCTGCACTTCTGAGCGCCCTGGAAGGTGAGGCGCTCAGTGGCGGGGGATGCAGGGTCGTCGGCGACGCGGCTTTAGGAAGTATGAGGACTGTGGGGTTTCATCACAATCGCTGAAGGCCTCCAGGCACCGCAGCCTCTTGGCGCCACGGCTCAGGGCGCTGCCCACTGGTGTCCAGATCCTCCCCTCTCCAGGGTTCTCCCCGGTTAGCCAGTGGACTGGGGTGGGGGTGGGGAGGGGAGGGGCGGTCTTCCCAGACCTGCTGTTGGGAATAAGGGAGAGAAAAGAGCGCGCGGGCAAAAAATAATCCAGCCCTAAATAAATGGCCACGCGGCTGTGACTGCGTGACATGATCAAATTTTCATAAGCTGGGGCAGCGAGAGGAGAACAGGTCTCTTAATAAATGCCACTATTATAGAGTGTCCGCTAATGCGACGGGTGGGGGGGGGCGAGGCGGAGGCGGGGACGCGAAGGGGAGGGCGGCGGGGGCTCGGAGTCCAGGCCTGGATTTATTAAGAAACGATGCATTCAATTTCGGCGTGTTCAGTAATTATCTTTTATTTCATTTTCTCCCCTTCCCACCCCTCCCCCTTGGATCCAGCAGAGGGCTGCGGCAGCGGAGGCGGCGGCGGAGGTGGGGGCGGCGGTGGGGGCGGTGGCGGCGGCGGCGGCGGCGGGGGAGGGGACAAGAGCCCCCCGGGGTCAGCGGCGTCCAAGCGGGCGCGGACGGCATACACGAGCGCGCAGCTGGTGGAGCTGGAGAAGGAGTTCCACTTCAACCGCTACCTGTGCCGGCCGCGCCGCGTGGAGATGGCCAACCTGCTGAACCTCAGCGAGCGCCAGATCAAGATCTGGTTCCAGAACCGGCGCATGAAGTACAAGAAGGACCAGAAGGCCAAGGGGCTGGCCTCGTCGTCGGGGGGCCCCTCCCCCGCCGGCAGCCCCCCGCAACCCATGCAGTCCACGGCCGGCTTCATGAACGCCTTACACTCCATGACCCCCAGCTACGAGAGCCCGTCCCCACCCGCCTTCGGCAAAGCCCACCAGAACGCCTACGCGCTGCCCGCCAGCTACCAGCCGCCCCTCAAGGGCTGCGGCGCCGCGCAGAAGTACCCCCCGACCCCGGCACCGGAGTACGAGCCCCACGGCCTCCAAGCCAACGGGGGCGCCTACGCGACGCCCACCCTGCCGGGCAGCCCGGTGTACGTGGGCGGGGGCGGCTACTCGGATCCGCTGCCGCCCCCTGCCGGCCCCTCCCTCTACAGCCTCAACCACCTGTCCCACCACCCCTCGGGGAACCTGGACTACAACGGGGCGCCCCCTATGGCCCCCAGCCAGCACCATGGACCCTGCGACCCCCACCCCACCTACACAGACCTCTCCTCTCACCATGCGCCTCCTCCTCCACCTCCTCCTCAGGGTAGAATCCAAGAAGCGCCCAAGTTGACACACCTGTGATGGCGGAGGAAGGGCCGAGGGATGGGGTCAAGGGCGAGGTGCGAGGAGGGGCCTCCTGCAGGTCTGGAAAAAGGGGACGGGGCGCTGGCGGCCGAGTGGCCCGGGAGCTCTTTCCCCTCCCCCGGCCTCAGGGGCTGCATTGAAGTCCCTCGCCCGTTCTTCCATCTGCCTGCCAACCCATGGGAGAGGACTCCACGGCAGATTGGAGATGACCCCGTCAGCCTGGGGGGGGGGGGGGGACGCTCCAGCACTACCAAGCTGGAATTCCATGCTGAGGAGCAGGGTAGAGAAGGATGAAATAGGAAAACAAGGCAGAGAAGCACATTTTTTTTTCTTTTTAAAGAAAACACACAGATAAGATGGCTAGGCCATCCCCAAACGGTTGACTCACCTTCCACCTCTGTGGGTAATTGCCCCAAATCTTGATTTTTCTCTCCCCACCCCCACCCTCAACTCTCCTTAAGAAAATCAGAAGACACACGTGAACCCCGGGGGAGTATACCCCCCACCCACAAGTCTGCTCCCATTTAGCTGAGGTTGTGGGGGGGGGGGCACTGCCTCCATTTCTAGGCCCATGTTTTTCTGCTCTGGGACATTCGTGTCCACCCTCACGCCGTCAGTCACAGTTTGCAGAGGGCTCAGGGATGGTGAGAGATCCTGAAAGTCAGAGCTATATGAGAAATATATATATTTTTTTCTGTTCAGGAAGTTAGGAGGCTAGCGCAGGCCAGTTGTCAGGATGCCTCCAGGTTCAGCTCCAGGGCCCACCCCCACCTCCGTGGCAAGCCACTGGCCGCAGGAGGTTCTCCGCTTTTCTTTTCTTCTGTTGCTCTCTTTGACTTAACGTGAAAACAGGGTATATTTGAACAAACTGTCTGTCCCAGGCGGGGCTGCCGCTGGGCCTGTGTACCTTGCTCAGCCTCCTGACGGACACTTCTGTTGCACTTAGAGTTTACATTTTAATGGATATAAAAACTGTGAGAGATGCCCGGGCCTGCAGAAGTCCAGCGTCGCTCAAAAAGCGTGTGTTCTAGTGAACATTTTCATATATATTTATTGGTTATAGCCTGTTAAGCTATTTTCTTTTTTGTATTATTTATCCCCTTACATTATGTATTTATATAAGGGAAAAAAAGGAAAAATTGTACTTTTTTAGTATTTACTTGTTATAAAGGACGTTGTGTTTCCTGTCATGTAAGACCAGATATTTTAGTTGATTGTACTCTAGGAAAGAGCTGTAGATTTATGTTAAACTCGTACTTATGAGCAATTGTAATTAGTTCTAAAAGGCATGAACTCAGCTCCTGATTGTCACTGTGTAGTCCTGAATTTGTAGAATTAGAGCCAGTTCCCTCTTGGAAGTTACTTTGTTCTTCTGTAGTTACTTTTTTCCTTACTGGAAAGGGTTGTCTGTCAAACAATTCTTGAATAAACTTTCTGTTATCAATTTTATCTTGTCCTGGTGGTCCAATTTAGATAGCAAGGCCTGGCTGCTGGCTGTGGCCCCCCAGGGACAGATGGAGAACTGGAAGACCCTTTCCTGGTCTTTTTTTTTTGCCCCCTGCTCAGATCCCTAGGTCCCCCTTGATGGACCTTGGATTTAAATACAGTGTTTCTGTTTTCCTCTCACTGCCTCCTAAGAGTTTGGACTTGTCTGCCAGCTTTTTCAGCTAAGGTTTAAGTTACAAGTTTGGCTGGGGAGGGGGGTGCAGGGGAAGAGAAGCGGACTTGGGTGCCCTTTCTAGATGTTTCTGTCTGGCCTCTTTTCCTCTCAGTTTTCCTTTCATTGACCTTTTGTCTGCTAATTTCTTTGGCTACAACCTCCGCACACCTCCACCCAGCAAAAACAAAAAAATCTGCCCGATTACTGCTGCCTCCACGCAACCTAAACTTCACAGTCCTCTTCCGGAGCTACAAAGAAGCCGTCACGTGACCTGAAGCCCAACTACCATTGGGTCTAAAATGAAAACAAAGGAAGATGATTAATCTAAAAAAAATAATAACAAAACCCAAGGCCTAGACTTCTCAGGTCAAACCTTAAAACTCAAGTGAAATTAAATCACTAAATAAAAACTCGGGGTGGAGGGGAAGGAAGAGCACTTGATTTTCCCTGCCAAGGAAGAGGATGGAGAGAGGAGGGTGGCAGCTGTTGGCTCCAAGCTCCGAGCGTAAATAAAACGGTCCCCAGGCTCATGTGTGGCTCTGTCTCCATGATCCTTTGGAAAACTTCATTTCTTAGTTGTAGTTCCATAAAAGTTTTATCACATGGGAGTGAGGATGGAGGGGGTTTGTCAAAGATGAAATGTCACCACCGCGTCGTTGGAGCCGATAAGAGCAAGGAGACAGGGCGGCTGAAATATGGAGCTAATTCGTTGAAAGAGAAGCGATGGCTGCTTGCTGAAGAGTTGCATAATTCTAATTGTAAGCGATGCACCCGCATTGCTTAATTAGGAGCATATATTTGGTAGTAGTGTTGGGGGGGGCAGAATCGTTCCAGGCCCTCAGCCTTAAAGTGAGGGCTGATTTTCATTTTTATGTTGCGTCCTGGCAGTCCAAGGTTAGTAATTACAGTCTTTATGCAACAATAAATAACAATAAAAAAGCAACCTGAATTCTACATCCCACCACCACTACCAAGTAGGATTTTAACTGGTCTGGGCGCATCCAAGCAGCAAACAATTTAGCATAGGGTCAGGCTATAATTTAAAAGCATAAGAGCGTGCAAAGTTGGATTGGGATCAAATAACACGCAGGGGTTTGTCTTTCCTTCTTTCTCTGCTTCTTCGTCCCTCTCTGCCCTGGATAACATCTTCGGGATGATTGACTAGATGAAGTGCCATGTTTAGCTCTGGGGCTGGGGTAGATTATTTATCCAGCGACAGAGAGGCAGGCCAAGAGAGAAAACCAGAGCTCTGGCTTGAAGTTGGAATCGCAAACAAGAAAAAATAAAGGCCGGCGGCCTAGCTTGGGGTCTCCTTTCCGTTCTCCCTGGGAGATTCCAGGCACTCAGAAAGAGGCGGGTGGTAAGATTCACAGCCCAACAGCGAGGGCGGGGGGAGGGATGTCTCTGGGAAGGAGGGCTCTCTCTGCCCCTTTTAACACCCGAGTTTTCCGCTGTTGGCTAATCTGGCCGTAAAATCTGTCAGCGCGGGTTAGAGAGAGCTGTATTTCCTGCAGGGACAGCCTGGGCCCCCGAGCTGCAGAAAGGAGCTGGACAGGCTCCTGCAGCAGTGCAGAGGTGCGCACGGGGGTGGCCAGAGGGAGAGCCGGCTCTCGGGCAGGCCTCGCTGCCCGGCCAGCCAGCTACTGTTTGGATTCATCCCTGCCCACTCCCCATCGGCACCCTTAGACCCGCTCCACACCTCCAAATGGCACACACAAACAAATGTTTTCTTTGGAGCCCAGTTGCATACAACGGTCTCTGGCCAGTTTGCCCAGTTCAGAGAAGCCTTGCCCAGCCTGCCTGCCCCAGTCCCTGCAGCCCCTACCTCCAATCCCCCCTTCTCCAGCCCACTTCCTTCTGCCCCCCTCCCCCCACTACTCAAGACTTCCCTGCCCTTCTTTTTAAATACTCACCACCACCCACGCCGACGGTGCAATGACAGAAGTTTCTAGTTCCAGCTCCCGGCTGAGTTGCCATTTCTCTGCTAGCTGGCCTTCCCCCGAAGGCCGGCTCGGGGAGCTGGGAGGGGGAGGGGAGGCCAGAGCCGTGGGAGTTCTGCAGGCAAACTTTCCACCCAACTTAGCGCCTTCCCTCTGTCCCCATTTCCCATCTGTTTCCCAGCTCGCTCCGAATCACCTTTCTCTATGGCGCTACCCCCAACCCCCCACCTCACACCCCCCCCCCCGCGCGCCTTTTTAAGGGATGTGGAATTTCGGCTGTTCCTTCTGCTTTCCCAAAGAGCCAAATTCTTTGATGCAATCGGAGGGAGCTGTCAGGGGCTAAGATTGATCGCCTCATCTCTTCTCCGTCCCTCTGACCCACTTATTTAAAAATCTTCCCCCAGATCGACTTTTCATTTTCTGCTTTGAGGCCTAGCTCCCCACCAATTGCTTGGGGACTCCGTGGCGTGTGCCCCCCACCCCCCAGGATGTGACAGTACTCTCTGAACTTCAGACTGTCTGGGTTCCCTCAACATAAAATACATTTAAAAAAAAATCTTCTCCCCCAGGGCCCAGGGGTGGTATCGAATCTCAATGGTCAGGGCTTCCACCCTCCCCATCTTCAGGGATTTCACACAAACAAAAACTAGAACAATGGCAAAAATGGGAGGGAGAGTCTCTTTGTCGTAGGGGGAAAAGTGTCCCCCTACTCCTCTCCCCATACGTTGACCTGAGCTTTGGGAGTTAAATCCATGGCTACCTTGGTTCTTGTTTGTGTCCCTGGATACACAGGCAGACCCAGGCTTGAAGCTTGAGGGGTCCATATGCAAGCTAGACCCTGCCAGTTGGGGAACGGGGTGTCACTGTGCGGTGCAGAAGCCCCCAAGTGGGGGAGGGCGGTGGACACAAGACAGGCAGGGGCAGTGCTGCAAACACCGGGCAGACACTGGAACCAGGTCATACAGCTCTGGTGGCCAGCAGCCCCAAAGAGCCATCTCCCTCTCGCCTGGTGTCAGCCTGGGGACGCCTGGACATCCATCCTGCAAGGTTGAACTGCTGCTGTTGGGAGGTTGCAAGAGGACAGAGGTGTGAGGACCTGAGCTCTGACTTTTGCAAGGTGGGAGGGAGCCTCTCTTCCTCCTCCCACACTGAGGTCTTCATCATCTTTCTTCTAGGAGGGGCGGGGGGGGGGAGGGGTCAGCCGCTGCCTTGCGTGAGAAGCAAGCCCTACTTTCCTGAAGTGTTTGGAAAAGAGTAGTTCTGCTCTGGACTGTCTCCTTTCCCAGGTTCCCACACCTCCTCCCACGCAGAAAGGCAGGCTCCCGGAGAGAGTACATGTGGCACCTATGTGGAGTTGGGGGGGGGGCTCCCGGTGTGTCCAGGTCGTGGTTCTCTGGAGTTTTTGAATCAATTAAAGCAAATAATGCTCCCTGTTTTCCGCCAGGCCCAGAGCAGTGATTGGCCAAGGCCGGTCCCGTGACCACGAATTCCCTGCAATTTCGCCAGAGTCCTGGGTTTAATAGAGAGAGTCCCCATACGCTTGTATTTATCAGCAATATACAATTATAAAGGCCCAAAATTAAAAAAAAAAAAAAAGAGCGAGAGCGAGTACAATCTCCCCTCCCAAAATCGCTCCTTTACAGAAACCTGGGGGGGGCCGGAGGGGGGGGTCCCTTCCGATCCTCCCTCCCGGCGCCCCCCCCAGCAGGCCCCCTCCCCCACCAGTGAAAGCCATGAATTTTGAATTTGAGAGGGAGATTGGGTTTATAAACAGCCAGCCATCGCTCGCCGAGTGTCTGACTTCCTTCCCCGCTGTCTTGGAGACATTTCAAACTTCATCAATCAAGGAGTCGACATTAATTCCTCCTCCTCCTCCTTTCGAGCAAACCTTCCCCAGCCTCCGGCCCGGCGCCTCCACCCTTCAGAGACCCGGGAGCCGAAAGCGAGCCGACGATGGGCCTGCGCTACCGCCGCCGCCGCCGCTCCCCGCCGCCCCCGAGTTCCCCTGGATGAAAGAGAAGAAATCCACCAAGAAACCCGGCCAAGCCGCCACGTCGCCTTCCCCGGCCTCCTCGGCCGTCCCGGCCGCGTCGCCCGCAGGTCGGTGAGCGCGGCGGGGCTGGGGCGAGGGGCGGCGGGGGCGCCGAGAGAGGAGCGAGCCCTCTGGGGGCCCCCTGCCCGGGACAGGGAAATGCCACCCCCCGCCGGGTTTGGGGCCTGGCCGCTGCCCGCAGCGCTCCTCGTTCCAATGGCAGATTCTGGACGAGCTTTATCTCTGCTGGAGGAGCAGGATTCCATTGAGGTCCTCACGCGTCTCCGTGCGGGACAATGCGTGTGTTGTCCTGAGAATGAATCCGGGGGACACCAAAAGGTGCGGTCGTCCCTCCCGCAGCCCCAGGAGAAAGGGAACTGGAGAGCAGTTCCCGGGTGGGGTGGGAAAGTTCGGAACCGAAGGTTCCCCTGGGAGGACTCCGGAGACGCGCTCTGTGGTTCCGGGGGCGCAAGGAGCCGTTTTGCGTCCCCTGCTGCCCCACGGGAGGCTCCGAATGTTTCTCTCTGGTCCGAGCAGCGTTTACAGGCTAGGGCGCGGGCAGAAAGAATCGGAACGCGGCGTGCGCGGGGTTGGAGTGGAGAGGTTTCTGCGGGTATTGTTTTTTTGGCGGATGGGGGTGAGGGTGGGGGGGTCTTTCAGCCGCACTGGGCTGAGGACGCGGCCCGCTGTGACTCCCAGCCCGCTTTCCCCCGCAGATGGCCCAGGCTTGCCGGAGGCCGGCGGCGGCGGGGCGCGCAGGCTGCGCACCGCGTACACCAACACGCAGCTGCTGGAGCTGGAGAAGGAATTCCACTTCAACAAGTACTTGTGCCGGCCTCGCCGCGTCGAGATCGCCGCCTTGCTGGACCTCACCGAGAGGCAGGTCAAAGTCTGGTTCCAGAATCGGCGCATGAAGCACAAGCGGCAGACGCAGCACCGAGAGCCGCTCGACGGGGAGCCAGCCTGCCCCGGCGGCCCGGAGGACGCCGGCGACCCCGCCGAAGAGCCCGCGGCCAGCCCAAGCGGCCCCTCCGCTTCGCAGGCGGCGCAGGAAGCCTGCCGCCGCCCGCCCGAGGTCGCGCCAGGCGCCCCGGGGCCCCGGCTTTGGGCCGCGCGTTTGGAGGGTGCGGGGGAGACGAGCCCTGGCTGCGCGCAGCGCCGGGCCGACCAGCCCGAGTCCCTGCAAGAAGATGCCTTCCCGGAGCTGCAGGATTCGCCCTTCCTGCCCGACCTCAGCTTCTTGGCGGCTGACTCGTGTCTGCAGCTGTCGGGGGGCCTCTCGCCCAGCCTGCAGGGCTCGCTGGGCAGCCCCGCGCCGCTTTCCGAGGAGGACCTGGACTTCTTCACCAGCACGCTCTGCGCAATCGACCTGCAGTTCCCCTGACCCTCGCCCTCGGCCTGCGCTGGGAAAATCCTCCCCCAGACCCCATAGACATGTGTTTTGCTAAAATTCAGGTATTACTGAATTAGCGTTTTAATCCACTCCCTTTCTTCTTTCTCTAAAATACTCCTATTGGGCATTCGGGCGTCCTTTAAAAAAAAAAAAAAAGAAAAGAAAAGACACACAAAACCCATTCCGTTTGCTAGTCTTCTTCCCACGAAATCTCAGGAATAATTAAACTCTATGGGGGGCTTTCGTAAAAGGAACTAAAGGGACCTATTTTCCTCTTTTTTTTTTAAGTTTTAGATCTTAGATTATTTATTAAAATTCTTTAATGGGAAAAGGGGAAAGTATTTATTGTACATTATTTTCATAGATTAAATAAATGTCTTTATCAAACGAAAAACGGGTGTGCGTGCGTGTGTGTGTGGGCGCCCACGCGCGCTGGCATCCAGCCTCTTTCTCCGAGCCACGAAGGCCCGGATTGCCTCCTTCAGGACCCGCGCGAGGTCCGAGGGCCGGTGAAGTCCGCCTGGGACAAAGTGGCCCCGCTGGGCGGCCGCCTCTCAGTTCGCGGCTCCGGGGAGCAATCTGGAGTCTGCTGGGAAACCGTTCACCTCCCTGCCCTGCGAGAGGCGGCCTTTGGCCCGCGTGGGTGTCCCCGGCCCCTGCTTAGAAACAAAGGTGGGCGGGCGGCCGGGGAGGGTGCGAGCGAAGGAGGCCCGGGGACCGGCGGCGGAGCCGCGGCGGGGCAGGGGCTGGTCCGTGTCTCGCCTCCGTGTCCAGAGCGGGGTGGAAGGGCTTTTTCGCGACGCGGGAGGCCTGGCCATTGCAGGCCCGGGGCGAGTGCCCGGCCCCTGGGGGCTGAGGGTGGCTAAGGAGTGGCGAGGGGGCTGGAGGTTTTCCAGCGCCCTGGGATGGTCACGGGCCTCCAAGTGGCCACTGAGGTCAGCCGAGAGACCTAGTGCGGCTGGACACCAGCACTCGGGACCCGCGGGCACCCCGGGGCTCCTGGGCGTGGGTGAGCTTCCGGCCCAGGGAGGTCCCGGCAGCAACAGGAGACGCGGGGTCTGCAGCCGGGGAAGGAGGAGCGAGGAGAGCGGGAGGGAGACAGAGACGCCCGGAAGATGCTCAAAATGGCGCTGGAGTCGGCGGCGAGCAGGGCGCGGGAGGAGAGTGCGGCCGCCATGACAGCTGCCGCGGGAGGCTCGGGGTCCGGCCGCGGGGGTCGCCCCGCTTCTGCGCGCCGGGGCTTCCCGAAGCCAGGGAAGAAAGCGTGCCTGGGCGCCTCGTGTTCGTTTTCATTTTTATTTTCTAATTCTCATTTAAAAAAAAAATTAGTCCAAGGATGCTGAGGACGCGAAAGAGAGGGGCGTGGGTGGGGCGAGGGGTAGGGGCGAGCCGGGGGTCTGCGGGCTGGGTCTGCCTCGCCGAGCCTGGCCAGCAGACCCACCTGTCCTGGTCGACAACTTCATTTGCCGTCTCGGCTTGGCTTCCTTACCCCCACCGCACCCTGCCTGGCTCCTGGCAAACCCGATAAGCGGGAAGCAAGGATCGATCTTCCCCATCTGCCTCGTGGTTTGTTCCCGGGAACGTGGAGATTTAAAGGGCCCTGGAAAGCCATCCATCCTCCTTAGGTTTATTTAATATTTCTCCGGCTCAGAAACAGACGCCGCAGAGCTGCCTTGCCGGCAGATGCTGCTGTTTTAGAAAACTGTTTATTTCCTGCGCTTTCCCGGACTTTCCCGGCTAGCAGCAGCTCGGGGACCTGAGTACCAGGCACCGAGAGGCTGCAACTGTCAGGATAAAACGGGAGCCAACACGGATCGTGACATACAGAACTAGACAGCACAATAGCGTGTTAAAAACAAAACAAAACAACAAAAACCCAGTGCCTCAGTGTGGGGAAGCATGCATATTGTATTCAGCTGAAATTTAATCCCTTAAACTGCCTTAATGTAGAATTCATCCTGTGCACTAAATAATCTTATGTCATGTTAAATTGCACTTATTTCTCTCATAAATAAGTTAATATGGAACAATTAGATGTGCTATAATAATATCGTGTATCTTATTAGTTTATTTTCCCTCATAAAGTATATAGGTATGAAATAAATTCAATATATTAAAGTAATAATACACAGCTTATTGGCTTGTGTGTTTATTTTCCCCATAAATAAGTGAATATACAATATATTAAAACCACACTATACATCTCATTGGGCTGTGTGTTTATTTCTCCATAAAATATGCCCGCTGGCAGTGTTTAACGTCTTTAAAAAAATCACAGCACATAAGCCATCTCTACACTAGCACAATGAAAGAGACATTTCAGCTGGGGCTTTGATGGCTATGGACAGCCAAGCTAGATGATTTGGTCTAATTAAAGATGCTCTTGCAGGTACAGCAGATTGTTACAAAACTCGAGACCTCTAGAAGGAGATCGCTAATTGCCCACCCTCCAGCTTTCCTTGGTCAAAGGAGAGCACCCTTCCTCCACGCCAAGACGCCAGAATTCCCTTCCTAGCATCACTGGCCACCGTACTCGCTGCAACCTGTGAGCTAGTTAGTAATGCAGACCCTTAGTCGCCACCCCTGCTACTGAATCAGAATCAGCAATTTCACAGATCCCCACACAATTTACATGCATGCCCTACTAGACCATCATGCCACCGTGCTTCCTGCAAACTTAGGGCTCTTTGACCCACTTTACCAGATTGCTCTCCTCCAGTCCTCCCAATGCAAACCAGTGGCTCAAAAGGGCAGGAAAGCTCAGCTGCTGTGTTAGGTGTCTGTCCTCATTCCTCCCTGCCAAAGTGAACAAGGAGCCAGGAGGGTGCAGCCAAAGGCTCCACCTGCCAGTTTAGATTCCTGTGTTCAAGGCATCCACAGGCAGAAGTTGACAATCTGGGGAACCAGGGTGTCCAGCATTTCCCTTGGCTGATTGCTCAGAGGAGTTGGAATTCTTTTTGTAGGATGCACACAAGACTTGCTCACTCTTTCCCTTCCCCAGTTTCCAAACTCACCACCTCTAATGACACCACAGTGGGACAAAGAGCTAGTGCCTTTGCAGGAAAAAAAAAAAAAAAAAGTCAAGAAGGAAATGACCCTTGTCTTCCATCTCTCCACTCAACTTGAAATTCAAGGGAATGCCTGGCAACTTGGGGTTTATAGGGATTGGGATGCAAGATGTCCATGTGCCAGATTAGCTCCCTTTCCCCTTCTTGTCTCTGGGTCATCTTTCCTAGCCTGAGTTTTCCTAGCTGGCCATGGAGGAGGTAGGGGAACAAGAGTGGTTCTCAGATGGGACAGCAGAGACTTCCCCCAGTGGAGGCAGGTTGGAGGGCAGCACCGGGTGGCTGCACCTGCTTACCCCCCACCCTGACTGGGGTTGGGCTCCCCCTGGGTCAGGACTGAGTGTGTTATGTGGTACAGACTGGTTATAAATCAGCTGAGATTGGGATGGGCAGGTTTTAGTGCATCCCAGAAAGCTACTGGTCAGTATGCCCTGCTCTTGGCAAATCATTCTTTTAAGAATGGCACAGGGGATGGTGCTGTGGCACAGTAGGTTAATCCTCCGCCTGCAGCACTGGGATCCCATATGGGCGCCGATTTGAGTCCCGGCTGCTCCTCTTCCAATCCAGCTCTCTGCTAGGACCTGGGAAAGCAGTAGAGGATGGCCCAAGTGCATGGGTCCCTGCACCCACGTGGAAGACCTGGAAGAAGCTCCTGACTCCTGGCTTTGGATTGGCACAGCTCCGGCTGTTGTGGCCTTTTGGGGAGTGAACCAGCAGATAGAAGACCTTTCTCTTTGTCTCCTCTCCCTCTCACTGTGTGTAACTCTACCATTTAAATAAATAAATAAATCTTTTTTTAAAGGCACATTAATATCATGGCGAAAGCAAAGGACCATTAGATTGAGGAATTACTTGCAGTCATGATAACCCTGAGTCATTAAAAAAAAAAAGTTAACTTATGTCTGGGCAAGTCCCTTCCCCTTTCTGGACCCTAGTTTCTCTATCTGTGAAATAAATGGAGGAATTGAATGCCTCTAATGTACTTTGCATTACTGTATGCCAAATGCATACTCGTTAGTCTTCAGAACCAATGTATTAAATATTTATTATGGCTGGTGTCATGTGTTCTCAAGTGATTCTTAGTGTTGGACAAAAACCTGCCTCCCACATTTTAGTGGCACCATATTAACAAAGCTTAATTTGTATCTTTGCCCCAACAACCGTTCTCCCAATCACTACTTAAACGGGCAGCAAGAGAGATCTTTACAACAGCAGGTCCCTGGGTGCAGTGCTGTGTGCCAGGTGCCAGGTATTTCGTAAACAGGAGCATTAGGTAGTGTCCTTGCCAGCTTTTCCTCTGCCACTTTCCCCAATATTTGGCTATGTTCACTCTTGTTTAAAAAAAAAAAAGAGTGGGCATTTAACATAAAAGAGCCACCCAACTTCTTCCTGGGCTCAGTGTGCTAGACTTTCAAAGTCCAGTTTAGTCCCTTTTTATCTGACTCCTGGGACATCAGAGCAGAGGCTCCAAGCTGAGTTGCCCTAAATCCCATAGAGCTGCCGAATTCCCTGAGTCCTTGGTCCTCTGGCCCCACCCCACATCTTCCTGAAAGGAGCTCAGCCTAAGGCATGGCCCCACTGCATCCCTCCAGGCTGGGCCAGCCAGGGTCCTTCAAAGGGCCTCCCCCATCCCAGCTGGGTCTGCCTTCCACCCCATCTCTCTTCACACTCAGTGTGAGGCAGATTTTAGAGCCTTAAGGAGACCTAACACAGGACCCTCCTTAGCAGAGAAGGTGAACAGAGAAGCCCTCTTAAGAAAAATCAGCCTGGACAGGCATTCAGATCCAAGCCCAGCTTGATGAGTGTCTGATGAGGTTTCCAGAATGGATATTTTGGCCACAAGTGTCATACCCTTCCTTTTAGAAAGATCTCAATCAGGATTTCGTCATGTCCCCTGATTGTTCATGCCAGACAAAAGCTTACAGCTTGTTGGGCCATCAGATCCAGTAAGAGAAGGTTCTAAACTACACTCCTCAAGGAAGAAGAGGCAACATCCTCTCTGGAAAACTTTCTCCAAATACCTGGAAAATCGGGAAGTTTCTTTCTTTAACTACCTAAAGGGTTTTTTTTTTTTTTTTTAAGATTTATATATCTTTATTTA